TATCCCAACAATCCTGATAAAATGCCCACCTGTGAAACTCCACAAAAACCAACACTAGGTCCTTCACAATATCCCAACAATCCTGATAAAATGCCATTGTAAATGCATCTGGGCCTAAAGCTTTCGTTCTATCCATTGAAAATATTGCTTCCTTTATCTCCTCTAAGTCAAAGTTTTTCTCTAACCCCACTCTGGCTTCTAAACTATGAGTTGGCCATTCCAGCTCCTCCACCCGAATCCTCTCATTTAGAGGCCTTCCAAAAATTGATTTAAAATGGGTTGCAAAAGCCTCTGCTATTTCTGCTAGTTGGGAAAGAACAACTCCATCAACTTCTAGCTTAGAAATGATATTCTTCCTTCTTCTAGTGTTTGCCACAGAGTGAAAAAATCTAGTGTTTCTGTCTCCCTCCTTTAACCATTTACATCTAGACTTTTGTCTCCAACTTATCTCTTCCTGCAATAAAAGACCCTCCAACTGCTTTCTAACCCTCCATCTCAATTCTTTGTCTTCTTCTCCAAAAGAACCCCTTTCCTCCTTCAAGTCCAGTCCTCAATTTGCTCCATTAAAATCTTCTTTCTTTCCTCCACTCTTCCAAATACCAGACAGTTCCACTCCTTTATTTGAGATTTTAGGAATTGAATGTTTTTGTGGAATCTCATCCCCTCCCATTCGACTGACGGATTGTGTTGTTCCCACCATTCTTTGATCTTCTCTATGAATCCTGGATGGATCAACCACATATTCTCAAACCTAAAGGGAGCAGGTCCACCTCCTCTTAAGTCCTCCTTACACAATGGTCTAAAGTGAGTCTAGGGAGTGCTCTAGAATTTAGGTTCCCCCAATGCTCCTCCCAATCTGTTGAGAACAAGAATCTATCTAACTTAGAGCAGATTGGGTTAGATTGAAGGTTGGACCAAGTGTAGATATTGCTTAGGATCGGGAATTCCTTAAGCTCAAAAGTATCCACAAATTGATTGGAATTTCTCATGCTGGTTGTCACTCTCTGTTAGGGATTATTGGTTTCCTCTGTGAATCTTACTTCATTAAAGTCCCCCCCCCCACACACACACACCAAGGTCCCTCCCATAGGCCCCTAATATCACTCAATTCTTCCCATAACCTCTTCCTCTTCCTATAGTCATTGGGGCCATATACATATGTTAGTACCCATTCAAAACCATCTTCCACCTGCCTGAATTTCATAGAAATTGAATGATCCCCTATCAGTTCTTCCAAACCTACCACCACATCTTCCTTCCACAATGTTATGATCCCACCCAAGGCTCCCCAAGATGGAGTAGCCACCCACTTTATCCCTTTAGA